GCTGCCTGGCGGAAAAGGACCTGGGGGTGGTGGTTGACAGCCGGCTGAACATGAGCCGGCAGTGTGCCCAGGCGGCCAAGAAGGCCAACGGCATCCTGGCCTGTATCAGAAATAGTGTGGCCAGCAGGAGTAGGGAAGTGATGGTGCCCCTGTACTGGGCACTGGTGAGGCCGCGCCTCGAATACTGTGTTCAGTTTTGGGCCCCTCACTACAAGAAGGATGTTGAGATGTTGGAGCGTGTCCAGAGAAGGGCAACGAGGCTGGTGAAGGGTCTGGAGAGCAAGTCTTATGAGGAGCGGCTGAGGGAGCTGGGGTTGTTCAGCCTGGAGAACAGGAGGCTGAGGGGAGACCTCAGTGCTCTCTACAACTACCTGAAAGGAGTCTGTAGCGAGGTGGGGGTCGGTCTCTTCTCCCAAGTCACTGGCGATAGGACAAGAGGAAATGGCCTCAAGTTGCGCCAGGGGAGGTTTAGATTGGATGTGAGGAAAAATTTCTTTACTGAAAGAGTGGTTAAATATTGGAAGAGGCTGCCCAGGGAAGTGGTTGAGTCACCATCCCTGGAAGTATTTAAAAGACGTGTAGATGCAGCGCTTAGGGACATGGTTTAGTGGGCATGGTGGTGTTGGGTTGACGGTTGGACTCGATGATCTTGGAGGTGTCTTCCAACCTTAATGATTCTGTGATTCTAAGCTGAAGTTAATAACTTAGTGAAGCTTATGGGAAAAGATAATGGAAACAGTGAATTGTTGATTTGCTTAGTTTCTGTGGAACGTAAATGTTTCCCAAATACTTCCTCAGCAACTGAATGAATTGGATTGACCGAAAATACAGTTAGCAGTTTGGCAAAATAATCGTTCAGACTTAAGTTTCCTTCTGTCTTCCTAGCTTATGATTCCAGTTGTTGATAGTGTGTTTGTTTCAGGTGGCCTACTTGATTTTTCGTTTTGTTAAACTGATTGTCGATGCTTTCTTGTTGGCCACTGCCACCACCGGAGATGCAGCAAGCCATGGCTCTGGTTGGTGCCGCCCCTCGGCAAAGTGTGCTGCTTGTCCCCAACCGGCCCTTCTGGGCCACGTCCCGATGGCAGCATCATTTGAAAGGAGGAGATGCTGGCTGCCTTGCGTGCTGGTCCCCAAGGCTGCATCAGGCTGTTGAGGTTGGACCAGTGTGGTGTATTGCTTTGATCCCTACTGCTGCCTTTTTCTGAAGCCTGATATTAGAAATCTAAGGTAAACGTGGATTTGGGTACTGCAAGGTCCAAGAGCATTTGAATGTCAGCGCTGTGTGCTTCCATCCGGAAGACTAAGCAGAGGTGTACAAATCACTGTTTGTGGCATGGTGTGTGTGTTGGTAGGTATGCACAAATTCCAGTGGCAGGGTAGTATTGAAGATAAATTGCAGGTTATACATCAGCTGTAACTAAAGGAACGTGGTGGTGATACATAAGGGGATGGTGGCTGGTACTGAAGTACCTTTTTATTGAGTTGTGGGGGAGGTTATAAATGGCTGAGTTGGAGATTTCTAACTTGTCAGTTGTAGGATATTAGCAGATTCTTGGCAAAATGTTGGACAGCAAATACAAATATGTATTTGAGTTCA